CAGGTTTACACATCCAGAAGGAAGAAGAAGAATAGAGATCTACTAGAGCTCAGGAGTCTTATGGATGATACTTTGGTTACTACAGATAATGGTCAGCACCTTACCTATCTACTAGCTGGATCACTACCAAGAACTAGAGTCAGAGGCAAGACTGGATTGGGATGCCCACACTTTTTCAGCGTCTGGGTGGTTTTTTGGGTTTCTTTTTATTTCTATATGTACCCATCTTTTATATTTTTTGGTGTGCGTTGTACCGTGTGGGTTGGGTGTTTAGGTCCACCCATATAAACTTATCTGTATCTTTATCTTTAATATATCAGTACTTGTCAGTTCTTGGGCTTTTTCAATATATATATATATATATATATATATATATATATGAGTGTTAAATATATGTGTGTAAATGCGTGAAAGTAACCTAAGAAAACTCCTATGAATAATTCATGTAACAATGTGCTTAGGTTGTTTTATGCAATGTTGTCTCTCTTTTATTCACATGATTTTTTTGTATTTGTAAAATCATATGAATAGTGAAATATTTGTTATAAATGGCGGAATCACATGAATATGTATGTGGCTGAGTGTTTACTTGCTTTTCTTATATGTGAGACTGCTTGTCTGTTTATTTCTTATTTTAAACATGATATGGGGACAGACAGATAGGATAACAGGCAATAGTTTAATTGATGGATGAGAGATATAACAGAATAAATAGAGCTTCTAAGTACTAAGTGAGAAGATATAGATGTTGGCTTAAGATTTTAGAAGATTAAAATATTTTTAAATATAAAACAAATAAAATGTTCTCAAAGGAATTATTTTCAAATGTAAAGAATCTCATTAAGAAAAGTCCTTTTCTACTTTAATTAAAAGTACTCTAGGATTTAAAAGCTTTTAAAATCTAATAAACTTATAAAAATTATTTTGTATATTAACTAAATGAATTCAAAATTTATAATCTTTTAAAGTTTAGAGAAGCTCAAAGAGAAATGTTTTCATGTTTAAAACCACTTCTTTGAAACTTTACATTTTCTTTTAAAAGTTTTATATAATTTTCCAAAATAATTTTATTTTTCAAAACTCGATAAGAAAGCTCTTTAAAAAAGAAATTCTATTTTCAAAATTTAAATTTTCATAAAATTTTAAGACTTTCTTTGAAAGAAATTGTCATGGGAACTTACATTCTTAAGAAGTCTTCTATTTAAATTTTAAGAGATTATTCTTTCTCTAATATTAAGAAAGTAAAATTCTTTTCAATTAACCTTTTCAAAACCAATTAAGTTCAATTTTTACATATTTTAAAAAAGATTATGGTTTATTTTTAATTTCAAAAGAAAACTATATTAAGTATAAGGATCTCTTTTCTTAAGAAATTCTTTCTTTAAAAAGACTTTACATATCAAGAATAAATCCTCTTTAAAGATAATCTTTTCAAAACCTTTGAGCTTTAAGGATCTAATATATACATATAAACTTGGCAGACTCCTATTACTTGCTTAGACTAGGCAAGACTTATATATTCACCAGATTGAGCGACTACATGAATATGTTTCTCTCCAGAAATGTATAATTTCGTAGCCTGAGACATCTGAGTATACAAACCTTGGTTTATCTTGATTTAAATAAAATCATAAGAATGATAAATTTATATTCTCAGATGTTTTTTGAATGACAAAATTACTTTTAAAAAAAAACAAAATCTGAAAAGTTTTGTATGAAAAGTATATTATTATTATTATTTTAATGCGAATACAAATAAGTCTTTAATATGTGAGCTTTAAATTAAGAAACTTAGCTTCATTTGTTCAAAATATACCATCTCGACCACAACTGAAACCTGGCGAGAGGGAACAAAACCTTGGGGAGAAAACTGAACTTAGGGTGGAAAATTAATATCTGATTGATGATTTGACCAGAATTTCACTTAGAACAAAAAAATAACAAAACAACACCTAGAAAATCCTGATTTGTCATCATAACTGAAGATTTCGAGAGAAAAAAAATCACTTTTCAAAAATCAAACCCAAAAATCAATTAAAAGCTATGAACTTTATTTTTTATAGCACCTTAGAATAGTTCTAAACTATGCCCCTAGGGTAGCAAACGTAGAAGAAAACCTACCATACACATACCATAGATTAGTCTAATTTAGGAACCCAAGATTAGATACTAGGTTCCCTCGCAGATTAGAACACCTATAAAACAAATTGACCTACCCCCAAAGACCTTTGAGTGTCCTAGAATGAAGTAATCCATGCTATGAACGAAGATACTCGCAACCACTTTTATAGCGGGAAGGACTACCTTAAGTCATTTCTATGTCAATAAGGGAGAACTCTATTATTTTAGTGATTAACAGTCTGAGGCTACAAATGTACCCGGAACGATAGAAATCCATGGGCATCTTAACCGGATTCATTACTCCCAAATTTAGGTTTGGTCAGCTATAGTTTCCTATTTATAGATATTTAGGTTAAGGCTTCACCTCCATCTAGAAATATTGTCCCTTTTCCTACCCTTTATACAAGGATATCTCTTAAAGCAATTCATCCTACTTAAATTTAACTAAAATAAATCAATTCAGACTCAACCCAAACCCAGCTTTTTTAATCCAGATCTAATTCCAACTCAATTAAATCACAAATGAATTTCAAATAATCCAATTTAATCAAACCTCAATCTCAGTCTAATTCAAACCAATTCAAATTCAAAACCAAATCCAATTCAATCAAAATCCAATCCAACCTAGATTGTTTCTCAAATCTAATCATATAATTCAAGCTCTATACCATTTCAACTATTAAATGTTGAGCTCAAAACTAAGGGTAAATCATTTTAGATACTGAAGTGAAGTTAGCCTGTATCCAATTTTACCCTTAATCAATGTTTTTAAATCTTGCTCATCTCAAAAACATTCACAGATAAATAGAAAAGATATAAAACATACATTTAATCGAGAGTTTTCTCAAGAGTAATTCTTGAGACATAATTAACTATGAGGGAGCCCCCCATAAGGATACCAGATCTCAGAACTAAAATAAACCTTATCTTATAATCGTCAAGTAAGGAAAGAATCTTGGTTCCGCAAATCCATAAATTCAAAAGATTTTCCTCATCAGAATGATTATATTTATTTTAAGGTAATATTTCTATCTTTCGAGATAGTGTATTATTCTTTGAATGTCATATCTGATTATTTTGATGGATGTCTTTCAAGATTTATGGTGGCCGCCAATAAGAAAATCTCACCAGTTATTTCCTCCGCAACAACTTTGCAATCACTTTTATAAAAAGCAGGTGCCCCATATGGACCCTCATTAGTTGGAAAGCTTCAAATTCCTTGTTAGCATTGGTGTGTGCTTGTGTTCTTCCATTAAATTCACATTAAAATCTCCAAATACAAGTATTAGCGATCTTTTACAACTCTCGAGACAAAATATCTAACTTTATCAAAATTAATGTTTCTCCATATCGACAAAAAATTATAGTAAAATCTTCGTCTTCCGCATTTACGAGAGTATTAATGCTCTTTACTTAAGGGTGGTTGTAGAATCTAAATTATGCAACTGAAGCTAATGGAGAAGCCTTATGTAAAGCTCTTTTCAATCCTGATACAGAAGAAAAAACTGATGCTTAAGGAAATTTCATGGAGATATCTCCTTTATCAAGGGTAAAGTTAAATACAATACTTCAGGCACAGAAATATGAGTGCCACATTAAGGATACTAACGAATGGATTCATAAACCAGTAGAGCACCTAAATTGCCATTGAGGCTGGGTGGGGGTTAAGTGATGGGTGCAGCCTGGAATGAAATTTTCCTCCTTCAAGAAAATTTAACCATAATAGGAGCTGATGAAGTGTGCATTGGACCAATATCATAGGGTAAATAGGAGAAAAGTTAGGTTAGGAATGTATTTCACAGATGGGTCAGAAGAGCTTTAATTTGGCGACACTTGTTTCTTAGTTATGTTATTTGGAAAAAAAAAACAACTATGTTTAAGTTTGTTATGACACTAGAGAAGAGTTTTTGCAATTTTGACAATCATATTTCACATAATTGTTTTCAAAATTTCATTTATGTAAATATCTTCATTATTTTCTATAGTATTTACAAAGTCAAGAAATTATGAAGGAAAAAAAACAACTATGTTAATTTGTCATGGCAATAGAGAAGTTTTTGCAATTTTGACTCACATATTTCACATAATTTTTTTCAAAATTTCATTTATGTAAATAATTTCATTATTTTCTCTAGTATTTACGAAGTCAAGAAATTATGAAAAAAGCAACAGCTATGTTTTAATATGTTATGGCACTAGAGAAGAGTTTTTGCAATTTTGGCTCACATATTTCACATAGTTGTTTTCAAAATTTCATTTATGTAAAAATCTTCATCATTTTCTTCAGTATTTACAAAGTCAAGAAATTATGAAAAAAAAAAGAGCTGTTTTAATTTGTTATGGCAATAGAGAAGAGTTTTTGCAATTTTGACTCACATATTTCACACAATTGTTTTCAAAATTTCATTTATGTAAATATCTTCATTATTTTCTTTAGTATTTACAAAGTCAAGAAATTATGGATATATATATATATATAGATATAGATATATATATAGATATAGATATAAATATAGATATATTTGTGTGTGTGCGCGCGCGTGTGTTATGTTATGTTTTTGTGTGAGCATGTGTAGACTACATAGTTGGCTGAGAGCAAGAATATTTTCAAGAGAAAAATGGCTAAAATATCTCCTGACACTTTGCCTGAGGCCACTTTAATTCCAGATTTTATAAAATATTAAATTAGCATACAGATTCTTTTAATATGGCTGAAATAATCGATTGACCTTTTTAAATGGACTCTTTCAGCCCCAATTAAAAATGTTTGGAGATTTACTTGGCACTTTTATAGACTGACTAAAATAATGCTCGTAACTAGTAAAGAGACCATTTTAGCACTTCTCATTTGCATAATGTAAGACTAAGTAAGAATGTACCTGTATATAGTTGCTCGGAGATTTATCTTTGTGATCTCATCAGAACTGTGCAAATGTGTGTTGAAAATTTCTCCCTCTAGTATTTCAAGTGGGAAGACAAGTGCAAGGCCTCCAAGTGTAAGGTGATAAACATACCTGTTTTAATATACAAGGGCAGTTAAAGCAACTAGAGAAGCACATAAGGTTTTGGGGAAAGCGAAGGAGTTCACATAATGAACTTCACAACATACGTGGACTCGAAGAGATCAATGCCGGAAGCTACTCCTTGCAAGACCTCCTCTATAATGGGGTAGAAAAATGCAAATAAATATATAATCAGTGTGTTATAATTGTTTGAGGATTATAAAAACACTTAAAAAAACACATTCCTGGTGAGCAGGACAGAGAGAATAAGTGCAATGTAGAACATATCAAGTCAAGAATTTCAAAATACAAATCTAGAATGAGAAGCATATAATTACACACACAAGATCAAATTTATAATTACAAACTTCTAATTTGGACAAGTATCCACCGATTTAGATAAAAAAATATGCAAAGTTCAGTCAAACGATAACTTAACAGTTATCTACTAAAAATTCAGAATTGTGAAAGAAAGGGGCATTTGCATGCATACCACACAATTGTTATGAATTTACATATCTAACGCCTAAACATTCATATTTACAAGCATATCACTCAAATTTTTAACATCACATTATAAATACTACCATCGCTATATTTTTAAGAGTGAAATACACCTTTTCATGTATAGTTTTATAACACCAAGGTGCTACAAGTATAAATATCAAACTTTGGGTGTTAGACATGTAAATAAAAAAGAATTGTGTATGTAAAATTGCCAAAAGGATAAAATGTTCAATCGAAAAATCACACAGCAGTTAAAATAAATCAATAAATTATATCAAATTTAAAATTGATTGATCACAAAAGCCAACCAATAAATAATTTAAAAATAAAAATTGAGCAAAGAAAAAAAATCACCAAATAATGCTATAGGTCTCACATCAGTATAAGGAGACAACTTCAAGAATTTGCAGTCCGCACCATGCTAGCAAGAATCAAGCCAACTACTACTATAGCAAAAAATAAGAATGATTTACAATCAAAGTAGAAGATTAATGGATTTATTATTTTACATGCCTTGAGTCTCGTACTTCAATCATAATCACTTAAAACTCAGAAAACATATTTACATGGTTCATTACTAAAATCCAGCAGATTAACATCGCTAAAAAAACAGGACCCATCGGCAGCAAGAAATCTCCCAAGCAAATCTAAAAACAATAGCAAGTAATAGGTACCAGCAAAAGTCAGAGAATTACAAATCTACCATAGAATGGTAGCAGCTATAGCACTTGAATAACAAGAGAGCCACAATTCCATTGAACCAAATAATTTTAAGGAAATCAAACCGAAGATGTTGAACCAACGAATCTTAAGGAAATTAAACAAAATATATTGAACCAACACAAAAACAACAAAACCGAATCAAAATACCAAGTCAAAGGAAAGTAGGGAAGAGAAGAAAGATTCAAAATGCTAGAAAAGATATGTTTTCTTAGGCATCACCATATACATAATAAAACTAAAAATAAAATATGGAAAGTCAAAAAATTGTTAAAAAATAAAAAATAACTAAAGTGAACTCAAAACTCTGAATGTCTATCGAGATTTGCTTGTCATATCACACACATCGTGTATTTTTAATCAGTATTTGAGATTTGCATAAAATCTTGCCCAAATTGAAATAAATTGGCGAAAATGAATTGAGCATTTCATATTCATCAATTACATTTGAATATAACAATTGTGCTTCCTATAAACTAATATATAACTCATTACAAGCCAATCACAAAATTGCATCAGACAACATTTTATCAACTACAAGTATTGAACACAACTTCATTAAATAGTTACTTCTGGCGTTAAAAAGTGCATTACTATCTTCAAAAGTTTTAATTTATGATACAGAGCCATCATTAGTTAGTTTATGATATAGAGCCAAATCAATGTTGAAAACTGAACTGATACGAAAACTTCACAGATTTTCCATAAACTAACATTTTCGAAATAATACTAAAACTTCACAGTACATTCTAAAAGACGGAAAGGAAGGAATTTGAGCCATCAATAGTGAGTTTATGATATAGAGCAAGTTAGATATGTTGAAAACTTAAATAATACGAAAGCTTCACAGTATTTCCAACTTACAGAACAATTATGCCAATGTGCTGCATGACAAAAATTTTATATGGCCCTCTTATTCTAGCAATTAATTTATTAAAAAATCAATCCAGATTTAGACGAACTATGGCTGCTCATTGCCAGCCACCCTTTCTCTCTACAAGCCTCCACCAAGCTAATTAAAAATAAAAGAAATAAATATATAAGAAACTTCAGCAGTTAGAATTATTTTTAAGCTTTTGGATTAAATTTTACTGCTATAAATATTATAGAGATCTGAGTTTTAACTTAGAACCATGTATTTTACAATGGAATTTTTATTGCTATAAATTTAGACTCTTGAGAGAATTTATTTGGGCTATTTTAAAGATCCAAGCTTAATTTAACGGTAAACTAAGTTAGATCTCTTTAGAGTTTGTTAGCTTTTACCCTAACCTAATAGAATCAAAGAAGGTTATGTCACATGTTGGGTAATCATCACGCCTGCTTCAAAATGGAGCTGAAGCAAAGTAGGTATTTAACTATTTTCTTAACAGTTACCTAGTTTTTTTTTTTCTCGTTCTGAAAAAAGAATAAATAATCACTACATTATTTTAAATGTGTTTATTAGCTTTTCTAAATTTGATATGCAGAGATGCTTTAAGAGAAAGCCTAAAGAAAATGTACTTCACACATCAAGTAATACTAATAGTAATAATATTAATGTTAATTTTAAAGAAATTTGATAAAAGCAATATAAATTTTAAATAATGCAATTCTTCCTAAAAAATATTTTTAATGTGAGGGATGCTAAAACACCGATACTATTATATCATTAACAAATTGAATTATTTTACTGGATGATATATATATGTAAATTTTAAGTCCAAAATTTTAAATATTACAATCATAACACTCAAAATATTCAAGCAAAAAAAAAAACATTTCCTGTTAAAGTTCCTAATCCCATCACTATTAGCAGAGGTGGCGTCTCCCCCCTGCTCCGGCACACCCTGTAAAGAGAATTGTAGGTGGCATCTCCTAACCCACCATTAGAGACTTCGTGGTAAAGAGCAAATTAAGGTAAATCTTAGCTAAAAATTTATTTTTAAGTGCTTGTAAAAAGATAGATAATACTATAAAATAAACATGCAAGCAAAAATACAATTCAACAGAAGAAGAAAAAATGAGTCAGTTAAATTGAGAAATAAATCTCACGTGTATCATGATTTGTGTTAGTGGTGGCTCACAATACTTAAGTTTCTGATGAATATAAATTTTGAGATTTACATCGAAATATGTTTTATTCAAAAACTCTATTTAAAATAGTTTGATAAATGAAAATGTTCTATGATTACTTGCAACATGTAAAACCATATCAACTTTAGCTAGCAGTTCAAGCATGATAACAGCTATCAGCTTAATACTACTTGCATAAAGTAATAAAGATGAGCATGCAATAAAGTTACGGTGGTACTACATAGATTTAAAATAGCTTTGAATTCAAGAAAAAGTTTAGACGAGTAAGGCTTCAGCATGAACGAGAGGAAAATAACTCTGAAAGATGAACTTCATAACTAGAAAAAGCATGGCAAGTCATAACTTAAAGGTTTTGGAGCTAAATTAACACAATAGGATCAGCAAATATCACCAAAAATAGAAAATAATTTTCTATTGTGCAATATTTGATATAAAAGATTCACAGATAGGCCTAACGATTTCAAAAAATTTAATTGTTGATCATAAAGAGAACCTGGCAAGGCTAATCCAGATATCTGACGTGGTTTCTCCTCAGGTAAGCAATCCTGAAACATGTCATAAACATTATCAAAATTCATAATACTTCTAAAGGTTTACTCAAAAATTTTATATTTCACTAATCCAAAACTTGGAAGTTTAGCCGTGGTTGACTGAAAACCACCCATGAGAAAAATTTACAGTGACTTGATAGAGTAAAAAATGCATGAATGATCTTAATTCCATTCTTCTCATGTCTTGTGAAATTCTATTAACAATAATAATAAATCTATTGCTTGCACATTTTCATCTACAACAGTCCAACAATCCATAGGCAAAACATCTGAAGTAGTACAGCAATATGCAGAATGGATGGCAGCTTTCACCCTACAACAACCCAACAAGATTTGTATAGCAGTTCGTAACTCTAAATTCTAAAATTAAAAAATAGTTTTCAATTTTGCTGCTGTAGTTTTTGGAAGAGAAAAAATAATTATTCCTCAACAATTTTCTGAAACTTGGAGCCCGTTTGGGACAGCTTTTTCGGCGCGACACGTTTTGAAAATGCCCGCAGCAGTGTTTGGATAGTGCATTTAGTAGGGTTTCATCTATCATTTATCTTCGGCTTTCACTGCCCTACCCCGAGCTCTCCTCGTACCCGCTTTCCCCTCTCGGGAGCTCTTCGCTCTCGTGTCCCGCTCTCCCCTCTCACATGATTCTGCCCTAAAGGTAACATCAGCTCTCCTCCTACTCTCTTATCAGTGGCTCCAGTGGCAAGAATTTGCCTTTCTTCTCCTCTCCCTATCCTCTCCATTCTTCAACTTCATTTGGTTTATTTGCTCTCTGTCAGCCCGCAGTATTCTCTATCATTATCTATTCTGGCATTTTGATTTTGCAATCATTTTAACTTCTCTGAGCTTTATTCGATTGATGATTTTCGAGTGGTTGTGAACTGATATTGGATTTTGCAAGTTGAGTGATTTTGATTTTGTGATTTTTTTATTTACTGGTAGTGTTGTGATGGGTTGTTCTATGATATTGGCATCTCTAAGTTATATTCGGTTTGATTGTTTCCCTTCTCTGTGTTCTATTCGGTCTGTGTGTGGTGTTGTGGATGTGTTGAGGACTTGTTGTCTTGGTGTGTGTTGTGTTTGTGTGAGGTGGTGTTATGTGAAAGTGTTGGTGTGTGGTTGTGTTGTGTGGAGGTGTGGAGGTGTGGAGGTGTTGGTGTGTGGTTGTTTTTGTGTAGAGGGGTGGAGGTGGCGTGTGGTTGTTTTTGTGTGGAGGTGGCGTGTGGAGGTGGTGCAGAGGTGTTCGTGTGTGGTTTTGATTTGTGCTAATTAATTATTTTGTCAAGTATTTATATTTAGCTTCTTCAATGCTAGTAATGCAATGGTTAAGATAAAAGAATTCGGTTTATCGGCTATGTGAGATAAGAAAACCAAATCATATTTTGTGAATTTTGTCCTAAGAAGGCCGAACTGGGAAATAGGCTCACCATCTATTTTAACAAGGCTGGCAAAATATTATGAAAATGTTCAAAGAAATGATGGGAAGGGAATAGGATAGGATTGAAAAACAAGTGGGATCAATTGAAAAAAGACTGGAAAATCTAGAAGGAATTGAAACGAGGATCCACTGGCTTGAATTGAAATCCAATTAAATAAACAATTGATGCTTCGGAGGAATGGTGGACTGAGAGAATCGAGGTGAGAACATATCCATGTATGACTTTCTTTTCCTGACTTTCTTTTCCTGGCTTTTTTTCCCTAAACTGTATGAACATATCAATGTCCCCTTATATTGCAGGTACTGTCAGCCGCCGAGAAATTCAAATTCAGTGGTAACCCTGATCTGGAAGAGAAGTTGGACCAAATTTTTGGTGGGTTGTGGCAACAAGGAATAATGCTTGGACCCCTAGTGAGCAAGGGTTTGGAAACATACCTGAGATCTTGGATGTCGAGCATGCAAGTGACTCCAATGAAAGCCCTAACCCAAACTAAAATGAAGTAGAGTCTACACGCAGGTCAAAGCGTCTAAGGGTAGAAAAAAAGAAAAAAGAAGTGGTTGTTTCATTAGAAGCAAAATATCAAAATTGATGACTTCATGCACCAATGACCCTGAGATTTCACAAGCGACTTCCATCGAATAAATTATCCGAGTTTTTGAGGCAAGTCCAGAAATTTATGCAGAAATGTCGTTATAATTGTACTTTATGAAGTTACTAGATGACCTGAACCAGAAAGAGTTCTTCATGAAGATGACCTCTGACTATAGAGTCAATTATTTATGTTTTTTTATGACAGCAGCGACACTTGATTTTATTTAGTTATCTTTGCACTATTTGTATTTATTTTCCAGTAGGTTTATCGGATTTCTGATTTGAATATTTTTTTATTTTTCCTTCGAACAATGTTAATGCTATTTTGGATGTTTGTCTTTTCATCGTATACTTTGTAATTCGTTAGTCGAAGTTTATTTGTTTGATTCACATGTCTTACCTAAACACAACACTTGTTTAACATTGATTCACAAAGAGAGAGATGCAAAATGAGAATTGTGGCAGCAGTATATTTGATGTAAAAGTACTCCAACTCATACGTAGATCAGTCTCTTTGTATGACATCATCCTACATTGGTGATAAATAGGTTAGGGAGCTACTTGAAGGACACCTTACAAAATTCAGCAACATGTTTCGTATAACAAGGCCCATATTTATAGATCTTCTAGGTTAATTATATAGGAATCATGAACTTCATAACTCCTATAGAATGACAACCAGAGAGATGTTAGCAATAACTCTCTATATTTTGTCACAGAATAAATCATTGGAGCAATTTCAACATTCATCGGAGACAATCAGCGGATACTTTTCAGTAGGATTGAATATTATTGTTAGTTTGTTATCAAAGATTATCAAGCCAGAGGATCCAACATTTGAAAGTATTCCAATAAAGATAGAAAAAGTCCCGTGATATATGTCATTTTCTACGATAAATCTTTTTACTCGTTCTATTCATAAGTCAAAATGAGTAGTGTAATTTACACTACCTTCTTTAATTTGTTAAAATTATATTGGACGATTGATGAACCACACGAGGATGCACGTGTATCTAATAATGAAAAGGCCGCATTCATTGAACGGTATGGATCACCAACACAAAATGGAATATTTGTACGTGATTTCAACATGTGTTTTACTTTTGTTATGACTGATTGAGAAGGAGTGCACATAACATTCGTATACTTGTTTTTGCCACAAGAAATCGAAAGAACTTCCCTCACCCACCTCCAGGTTTGTTCAACTATTAATCAAATTTACATATTTTTAGGCTCATTACTAATTTTTGTATTTGGGACAGAGAAATATTATTTGGTCGACGATGGATATCCCTTACAAAAGGAGTATCTGAAGTTATTTCCGGATACCAAATATCACATTCCCGACTTTGAAAGATCCAGTAACGTTGTTCGGAGCAGGAAAGAAATGTTTAAGAAAAGACAAATCCTTACGCGGTGTAATTAAAAGAACATTTGGTGTGAAAGAAAAAATGAGTCATACTGTGTGATACGCCAACATATCCTTTTCCAAAGCAGGTGCAGATTGTCGTGGCCATAATAGCTCTCTAAAACTATATTCGGCAGCATCACTCACGCAATGAAGTGGACTTAAACATGGTCGATGATGATTATTTAAATGTCCCGCTTAATGTATTTGAATATCGCATAGGACAATCCATAACACAGGTGGAAGTAGAATCACATGAGAGTTGCACCCACGATGACAAAGGTGGTGAGGAAATGCTTGACTTTAGAGAGCGGATTACAGACACTATTGTTAGATGTTGAATAGACCGATTGTATTTTTTTCTTTTTTTTTTTTATTTACGATAGATGATGAAAACTATTATTATTTGTTTAATTGATATTTTGTCAATTCAATAAAATTTTGAGTCTAATTTTATTTCTCGCTTCTTTGCATTTATTATTCCCCACCTAAATGGTCGAAGAGGCAACCATGGATATAATATGGTATATAAATACTATTGCATATTTAATTCTATTTTTTACAGGTCAGTGATGAGACATTCGACCTTAATGGTTATTCTGAATGGCCTATTTATCCCTACTGGTTCTTGTCACAAGTGAAATCTCAATGAAAGTAACCGAAAATCCTATCAATTTTTCAGTGTCGTGGTTTTCTGAGGCTCTTCTGGATGGCTTATTTTTTTTTATATGCAGGTCTGACACATTTGTGTTTTGAAGGCAACCAAGAACTTCAAAGTTTCCTGCTTCACATCAGCCACATACCTACGGAAGACAGTTTTACAGAAGCCCATAGAGAATCACGGAGAACAGTGACTTTTTTTGGTGGACAGATAGGCTGGAAGATTTTATCGCCGAGAGTGATCAGACAAGGAGAGTATCTCTGGAGGACGACTTAGTTCTTGGCAAATGTTATCTACATTTTAAAATAATATTATCATATTATTAAATATTATTCTACTAGTTTTTTTCTTAATTTTAGTAATTGTGATACTCGTTGTTAAGTGAGGTGTATATTTTTTTGTCATTTGTCCAGAAAATACTGTAGCATAGTTGTTTTCAAATTGCAAAAAACAAGTAGACAGTCAGCTTATCCGTAGCTGTCACCTCTAGCAGCTACAGCGCTGCAACTTATTATTAAGCTACAACAGACCCTTGGTTACAAGATAAATACTAGAGGAAGACCACCACAATAGCAAAACCATAAAATCCTTGTGCTAGAAAAAGGAAATAGAAATTTTTAACAAGAGCTAATTCTAGAAGTAGAAACTACTAGAAATAAAATAATAATAATAGTAGAAAAATACCAAAAAGGGGAACATTCTTAAAATTCTGACACCCCCCTCAAGTTTGAGCATAGATATCTATCAAGCCCAACTTGCTTACAAGGAACTCAAAACTAGGCTTGAAAAGTCCTTTAGCGAAGAAATATACAATTTGTTACACTATAGAGGTGAAAGGCATGCAAATGACTCCACAATCAATCTTCTCTTTTATTATCAAAGTACAACTTCATTGGCA